AGAAAGAATGTCGTGGGGAATCTGCCTACAACGCGTGAAATAAGGAAAAAGAAAAATCGTACCTTCGACGTTCCGACAAACCTTTTCACTAACCAGTGTAATCAAGTGGATCCCCAGTATATAGGATGTATGATATAAATTAGAAAATGTACTGATCTCACTTGAGAATGAACTTGAAGATATTCTAATTCTTATTGTCTGAATTTAAAAATGTTTAAATAATATGCAGTAACTGTTTCAGAGAAAAATGTCATATTTGTTAATTTTATTGATTCTTCATGTTTTTGGGGAAATCATGTTTTACTGTTCCAGAAATGAAGAGGAGTTCTATGAAAGCCATGACACTGTAGAGAAAGTTATACCCTTAACAAGAGCATACCAAAGTTTTCCTTATCTTAGCATTAAGCATTATATAGGATCACAAATACATTGCAAATATGAAAGTCAGAAAAACCTGTATACAGCTAGCTGTAGCATACTTTGTTCTGTTGGCTCGGATTAAATTTCGAAATAATAAACATGACCGAGATTTGGTGTCAGACAAGTCCATACACAAAATACTCAAGAAATACATGTACATTAACTGACTTTTTACCGCCTTTTAAAAGACTGAAAGACACTCCACCCTTATACCCCTATAGAATACTCCCCCACAGACTACCACCACCACCCCCCTATTATTAACCCCCCCCCCCTTCATAATGCCTTTGCAAATACCCCCCCCCCCAGAATATTCCATGGTCAATACCCCCCCCCCAGAATTTTTTCGGTCTCCTACCCCCCAGAATTTTTCGGTCAACACCCCCCCCCCCCCAGAATTTTTTGGTCTCCTACCCCCCCCCAGAATTTTTCGGTCAACACCCCCCCCCCCCAGAATTTTGCATCCATACCCCACGTGCATTTTTTAAATGGAATGGCCCAATACAGAGTCTAGCCTAGAGCTAGATGATTGATGTAGTCTAATTTTGTCAGCACAGGAAGATTTAAATCCCCCCAGTCACTGTATAATGTAAAAAATACAGGCTCACTTCGTGAACATGCAAATCTTCTCTGACAGCTCAATCTCACCATATGTCCAATGATCTTCTCTACAGTTGGGGACATAAATAAATGACAGGTGGATTTGCTGAAGTGAGGATTTCCCATGTTAAAAATAAGAAAATTTACAAGAGGCCATACATCAGTGGATGAGATTATACAAAATGTAAAATATACAAATTTTAAGGGATATATATCTAGACAATATTGGAAATTATGGGCTTTCAGACCACCATAATTAGGAAATGGTGATCGAAAATCGACCTGTCATTTATTTTTGTCCCCAACTGTAAATTAATTCTCTTATTGACGAAACAATATGGTTGCACTGGTGATCCCCTCGATTATGCTGGTTACCGAAACAGTTTGTTACAAAATGTCAGAATGTCGAAGGTACGATTTTTCTTTTTTCCTTATTTCACGTGTTGTAGACAGGATCTTCACGATGTTTATTTCTCACAAACGTATATCAGTATCATATGTTTTAGAAAATTGTAGCCGTCAAACCCTAAAGATGGTAAATGGTAGTATAAAGGTTGACAGGCTGTGGGTAACTTTCAATGACACAACTAATAATATAAACATGTGATCATTTCTATCACTGTATTAAAATCACATAAACTCACACAAATGCAGAAAACAATTAGTTTAGATTTTCATATAATACAATTCACAATTATTTATATATTTCTGTTATTTATTTACAATCAATTTCAAACAACTCAGTCCTTATTGGATTGCAAGTTGCAATTATAAAATCTGTATTCTTCCTCTAATCTGCATAGCCCCAAAGTCAGTTCAGCATAATACTTGTCTTTCAATGATTCTCCAGTAACAGCTATCTTGCAATGATTCTGCAGTTGTTCCCGGTATTCCTCATCTACGACTATCTTTTACTGATTCTGCAACTGTTCTCAGAGTTCGTCACGTTTTGATACTTGTAATCAAGTTATTCACCTGATTACACTGCTTTGGAAACCCCCTATTCTATAGTCAGCTGTCCATAATGTCCAACATATCCCCAACTCCCAGACTCAAGAACACTATAAATGGTCACACAGCACCTCGGAGGATTATAAACATTTCAATCATTCCTGGAGGATTAATAACCTTGGATTATATGGAGGATTGAGCCTAAGCTGAGCTCCGTCCGGTTTGCTTTCTTAAGGTTCCAAAGCAATTTGAATTCTCCGTTCCGAGAATATATAGCCAATCATTGAACGCCGCTGATATGATGTCATCGCAATTCTTAGAAATTATCAAAATGGAATACGGCTTCTTCATCAAATTACGTTATGTTATGGATTACGGGAATATAAATACATCTATCTCTGGAAGGAATGTATTATAGTATACGACTTAAGTTTAAAGTTGATTTATGCAATCTTTTCATCAAATAATCTTACGATAATGAGACTATGATTTCGAAGCCGCCATCTACAAAATCTTTTCAGAAATTTCTCCGAACTTCTTGAGTTTTATAAGATTACAGAACAATCCTGTATATTCAAGATCACAAATCTTCAGTGAAGTACAATCGATATCATATCTTTCAAATGAGGTAAGAATAGAATGATATGATCACGTATATTTTCCGTTCAACACAGGGACAGATAAAATATTTAATTTCCTCAAACTTTCCTGATTCGTTTGCATCATATGAAGCCCGTACCATCACAAAATGTACATGTTTGTGAAAAAATAGCTCAGAAGACAACAGAATCTTCTATTTAATTCCTCACTTAAGTTACATAAACAGTTTGGGTTAAAAGTGCAGATCTTAACTGTTTTTCGAAAAACCGTTTCTGTAACTTAAGTGAGGAATTAAATCGACGATTCTGTTGTCTTCTGAACTATTTGTTCGCAAATATATACATTTTCTTAAACATATGATACTGATACACGTTTGTATCAAAAATGTTGTGGGAATTCTGCCTACAACATGTGAAAAAAGAAAAATCGTACCTTCAATGTTCTGACATTTTGTTACCGTTACGAACCGTTACGGTAACCAGCATAATCGAGTGGATCACCAGTGTTAAGGTGCTGTGGTAGTTAACAGGAAGTGACAAAACAAAAAGTGACAAAACCATGCTGGATTTTGAAAATTTTTTGAACCAGGATAACAGAGTTCTGTTTTGACCTCCAGTCAGTTTAATAAGTTCCACATGTCATTTACATGACCAGGATCACAATGTACATGGTCAAAATGACCCTAACATGATGAAATAACTTTTTCAACCCTCTGAAAATGTGACAGAAAAATAGCTAAAAGTAGGCGCTTAGGAAAGGTCACCAAACAGAATCTTTTGAATTTTTCAGAAAATGTGCCCAATATACTGCTCTTAATGATACAATTTTGAAAATTTGATGTCATTCATAGAAAAAGAAGAAATTGAAAAAAAATTAATTGAAAAGCAATCTATTTTCCTTTTTATGACCGCCATTTAAGAAGATTGTATCATTTAGAGCAATTAATAGGCACATCGGTGCACATTGGTTCAAAATCCAGCATGGTTTTGAAACTTTTTGTTTTAGAAGTACATGTACCAATAGATGGAGGAATTTTGATGGTTGAAATAAGTTAAATAACACATTAAAACTAAATAAAAAATAAATTACTGAGTATTAGAATTCTTTTGATGCAGTTGAATCCTCAATCATATGGTTTAATCTGCAGAACAAGGACATTTTTGTTGTTTTTAATCGCAATTTCTTTTATATATAAGGAGACATGAACTTGTATAGTGGTGCTTTTTTTTTGCCAATCTCTGATAGGCTAGTGGTGTTAACCATGTCTCTTGACTTATATTTTTTCATCTCGCATTTGGCGATAGTCAACCGGCTATCTGCCACACTGCTTTGTGGATCTTATGTTCTTGATATTATACAGATATCATGATACATGTAGTTGTATACTTCAAAAATTCTTTATACATGTATGATTTTGTGTGCGATTCTGTTGAAATTTCATATGTGCCGACCTACTTAGAATCATATTACACTTTCTTATGACAGTTTGACTAGTATGAACCATTTTGAAAATGGTGGCCATTTGTGTTGTTTTGACGATTTTTGCTTTAACTGAAAAAGTAGTTAAAGGATTTTGTAAAAATGGCAGCCGTGGCTGTTTGATGGGATTTGCTACATACGCTCTGGCATTGTTGTTATCTAGTTGTGACAATATAATATGGGACTTTGATAAGACTTCCCTCTCTAAATTATTATTATTATATCTTGGTTACCGCCATATTTGGCGAGCAATACCTCATTGGTATATTCCGTATTTCACATATTTTGCACTCGAAGACAGAGCACCAGAAACCCCTCCTCGGAGGAGCCATAATGTTATATATAATCACGCATAATTTTTTGTGATAAATGTCTTGCTGACATTATTATATATATAAAATACATATGAGAGTTCGAGCTCTAGCAGTAGCCATTTTAAATCCCTTATTGGAGAAAACAGTTTATTTCATGAAAAAGTTATAAAATATCATTAACTTTCTGTTTATGTTTTCGTTTCGACCCGTACAAACATAATCCACAAGGTATAGCCTGACATCCATCTATGAATACAACGAAAAACTTATCAGCATACTACGTGTATAAAAGTTAACTTTGTTCAACGTCCCTCAGTTACCGATAGGAGGAATTAGTGGACGTCCCAATCAAAAGAGTTAAAAAATATAACTATCTGAGAAAGATTCAATGTAGTATTTGAAGGGAGTATTGATATTGAGGTGTATTATAACAAATGTTACAATTGGCATTTAAATGCTATATTGCTTGTCCATCTGTTTTCTATTAGCTTGGAGAAATATTGTAATCAGGGCATATTTATTATTCCATAAAAGTTCATTTATAGCTATATAAATGTATTTCCCTGGAGCAGTCCCTTGGGAATATACTTTAATCATTGTGAATATGAATAACCTCTATATTTACGATTCTTTCAGATCTCTCGCATTGCACAGATGTGACCTTTGACCAACAATTTTAGATTACAACAGCCTTTGCAAGAGTGACATAACTTTGGACTTTTGGCTTCATTAAATACAGTAAGTGCCTTCCAAATAAAGAAATTACTCTGTGTCAGTTGTTCAAATGTTGAAAGCAAATTAACCAGTTGTCTAGATTTATATGAAATGAATAGCAACATTTGATTTTGATCCAGCACTTGTAGCTTCAATATCAGTTATCAAGTTATGCTTCAAACATCAGTCACAGTTAGAAATATATAGTATATAATGGGCTAATAACTCAACAGGTTAAGCTTTAAGTATAGGTCCCAACATTACATGAAATAGGCTCAACTTATATAGATTAACGTCTGATTACAGTACATGTATTTGAGTATTATGTGTAAATATTGAATTTGTGGTATTTACCATAACACTTAATAATTGTTACCCTTTAAACATTTCCAGATGTCTAATATTACCTGTTGCTTGAATAAGTTGCCATTATAACCAAGCCAGCCGGGTTAACATGGATAACTTAATAACATTGGATAGCGATTCTGATGAAGAGGTACAAAATAGAAACACTCAACAATACACAAACACATTTGGGACTCTTATTCCACAAAATCTGCCATTAGCAGAGACACTACCTCCAAATGTTACTCGTACTTTGGGGATAAGACCCAATGATAACAATCAGGGCCAAGCTATGTATAGAGCCAATCAGCAAGTGCCAGCCTCACAATACCAGCATGGTAGTATAAATCAAGGACCACAGATACCAGTCTTCATTGTGCCAAATCCAAGTAATAGAGTGTCCCCAGCTCCAAGTAATCACAATCAACTTGGACCTGGACAGATTCTGCAGCAACAGCAGCTTAATCAGGTTGGAGTACCTGTTCAAAATGTACAAAACTTTGGAACAGCTGGATTAGCAGGTCAAAATGTACAGAATAAATTTGGAATACAAACTCAGCCTTACATTCAGCCTCCTACTAATCAGATGACGCAACAATATCAAACAAACCCAGCACATATGCCTGGGAACAATACCATACGTGGCTCAAGTCCAGCATTGATGGGGTCTCCCCAGCTTGGAAGTGGACAGTCTACCTATCAAGGAATGGGCACTTCACCATCTATGGGCAATTCAATAGCTATGGGCAATCCTCCAGTGATGGGCAATGTCCAAGGTTCTGCTCAAGGTGAAATGGCAAGATATCCAACAGGTATGTAGAGGATATCCTATGATTTTTGAGGGATATAGTTTTTCCATGAATGGATATTTCACCATCTCCATGAATGAGCGCAGTGTGAGAGTTTATTCCATACTTATAACATGCGGGAATATAATTTGATATGTTATGTGAGGGGGTGATATTACCCCCTGATATCACCTGCTCATCAGATGTACGAGTAACAAATTCAGGGAGTAGATACTGAGCCAGGGGACTTTGCTATTATTCCTCATTATCTACTAAGTAATAAATCAGTTATTGAATGCTCGATTTTTGATACAGGGTTTATCCCTCGGTAAATGCAAAATATCAACCTTTGGTCCCTATGGTCCCTCGGGTTGATATATTGTATTTCCCTCAGATATACCCTGTATCAAAAAACTCCCATTAAATAACCTCTATATCCCCATGAGTGAGCGCAGCGTGAGAGTATCTCCATGAGTGAGCCCAGCATTAGAGTGGAGATGGGCATTATCCATAAAATCTCCTACATTAAACAAAATGACAGGTTAATTTATGCAGTGACCCTGTGGGCCTTTTGAGTGTTTCATTAAGTATGTGACTCCATGGGTATTTTATCTATATAATTGATTTGAATCTTCATGTGATGAAATAAATAAATAAAATGAAAGATATCAGAGGAAGGATGTTTATTTTTTGGAAACCATAATTTCTACTTGGACCATTCATTCCTGCCAGTTTCACACCTGATATCATACCCAACATTTAAACAAATGTATTTCAATGTTCTCAACATTAGAGGTCTGTAGTCTTGGCGTTGTGGTGAGTGCTAGTTATCCCATCGAACGAAGTTCGGAGGGATATAGGGAACGCCTCCGTCCGTCCGTCCGTACGTACGTCCGTACGTACGTCCGTACGGACCGTACGTCCGTCCGTCCGGGCAATAACTCAAATACCGTTGGCCCGATTTTGTTCATATTTTGTACACATATACCCTATGGGGGTAGAAAATCTGCTGAAAAGCCGATTTTCAAAATGGCCGCTCATTTCAAAATGGCGGCCATTTTAGTGCCGAATTTACAGTAATTTAGGTGCAATATGTAAAACTGTAATAGCAATATGTTTGAGATGTAAAAAAATTATATAGGACATTAATAAAGCTAGAAATGTAGATATTAAAGAAGCACATGGCGGCCTTTACTCGTTATTTTACGATTTTTGCTGTAACTTGAAAAGTAGTGGAGCGATTTTGTTCATATTTGGTATGTGAATACTATAAACTTTGCAAAACTGCTTAAAGACACTTTTAGTAGAAGGCGGCCATTTTGAAGAATGGCCGCCATTTTGAAAAATGGCCACCATTTTAACATATTTTACTATAACTCGAAAAGTAGTGGAGCGATTTTGTTCATATTTGGTATGTGAATACTATAAGCATGACACACTGTCCTATGACACTTTTGTTAGAAGGCGGCCATTTTGAAAAAAATTTTGAAAAATGGCCGCCATTTTAACGTATTTTACTATAACTCGAAAAGTAGTGAAGCGATTTTGTTCATATTTGGTATGTGAATACTATAAGCACGGCACACTGTCTAATGGCACTTTTGGTAGAAGGTGGCCATTTTGAAAAATGGCCGCCATTTTAACGTATTTTACTATAACTTGAAAAGTAGTAGAGCGATTTTGTTCATATTTGGTATGTGAATACTATAAGCATGGCACATGGTCTAATGACACTTTTGGTAGAAGGCGGCCAAATTTGAAAAATGGCTGCCATTTTTGCTATATACTTTGTTTGTAAAAATGCCATCCATGGCTGTTCGATGGGATTCGCTACGCTTTGGCGTTGCCGTTGTTCTGGTATTTTTCCTTTGCCTTATGGGCATTAAACTGTTCAAGAACTTTTTTTAAGATGGCTGCTTAATTCAAAATGAGACAAATTTTTATTATCCGAATTTGATCCAAATGTTACAGGAATTATCACATCATGGGTGTAGATTTTGCCAAAAGGAGGCAATACTACTATACGACTTTTAAAAGGAAATGCAGCATTGGAGAGTGATTCAATCAATTATGTTTTGTTACTGATGTAATTTGCTATTCTGGGCTGGGAGTATCTTAGTCGTGGATCTTTCGCTATTTTTGTGTTAAAAATCTGCATTCAAAACCAAAAGAAGAAGCTTATTTTCAAGATATATGAAGTACTTAAATGTCTTAAAGTGATATTTGATAAGTCAAAATTTAGATAAAGGAAGTCAGGGTCAAGGGTTAAGCAAACTTGAGTAGATTTGGATTATATTCAAATTTATTGGCTGGTCCAACTGGTATTCAAATAAGACAAGTTTTACTTCAAATTCAGAAAAAAGCTTCACCACGATTTATTCCAAAAGTAAGTGAAGGTTATCATAGAAATTATTCAGGCTAATCAAAAAATATTGAATACATAGCTGTAATTTTTCCAAGTTTTCATAAAGTGATATCAAACTGGATTTTCAAACACATGTATAACACTAACTACAAAAATAACCTCCGAAGTCATTAAAATGATTTGTCTTGTAGGCATGATGAATGATGGGAATCAACGTGTTATGATGTCATCACAAGCAGCTGGCAGTGCTAACCCCTCAATAATGTCAACTATGACTAGGACTGTCTCAACAGCATCAGGTATGTAATAATATTTTTTTCACACATAGCAAGGCAAGGTGTGTCAGATTCCAGCCAATCCAAAGATACTACAGGGTGGGCCAAAAAAATTTGCAACTTTTTTAAAAGGCTAGAAAAGTATCATAACATGAAGGTATTTACATAAAAATTGATTTACAGAAAGTTTAGGATAGGCATATTTTACCCTTCAAATATCTAAGCTTATACTGAGTTCTAATTTTTTTGACAGTCCTTTGAATATCAATGGTAAATTGTTTATGTGTCCGAGATTTGCTGTTTTTCCAAGAAAATGTGACTTTTATGATTTTACGTGATCAACAATAACACATTCATTATGTTCACTGAATCTGCTACAATCTTTGATAACTGTTTATTCAATATCTAGGACAATTTTATATTAGTATCTACTCACAATGGCATTATGTTATACTGTATCTATAAAACTATTATTATTAATCATATGTTATTACATCCACCTTTCACTTTCACTTTCGCTCCCAGCCATCGGGCAAGGGTTGCTTTGGAATATCTGGAGGAAGATATCTCTAGATTTATTAGTCCTGATGAATTGCTGCCCAATACACCAGATGCCAACCCCTGTGACTATCACACATGGAGGCACCTGGAGCAGTTTATTGCAATTAATGGTAATCCACACACAAACTATTGATCAACTAAAAGAACATCTGCAGGAGAAATGGAAATTACCGCAAGAATCGCTGAATGGCGCCATTGCAGTTCCCCCCTCATGTCTGTGTGATAGTGAAGATGAAGGGGGATGCATGGAACGTTTTTAAATATATAATTAATAGATACAGTATAACATAATACCTTAGTAAGTAGATACTAATATAAAACTGTACTAGCCATTGGTTAAACAAATATCAAAGATTGTAGCAGATTTAGTGAACATAATGAATGTGTTACTGTTGATCACATAATATCATGAAAAGTCACATTTTCTTGGAAAAAGAGTAAATCTCGGACACATGAACAATTAACCATTGATATTCAAAGAACTGTCAAAAAAATTAGAAGTCAGTATTAGCTTAGATATTTGAATGATAAAATATGCCTATCCTAAACTTTCTGTAAATCAATTTTTATGTAAATACCTTCATGTTATGATACTTTTCTAGCCTTTTAAAAAAGTTGCAAAATTTTTTGGCCCACCCTGTATTTTACATAATTTCACATAACTGCATTCTATCATATAACCAATAACCAACTCAAGGTCACTAGTTTAACTTTTTTCAAGGTGGTAACTGGACTGGAGTTTCATTGAAAATATTTTCTTATAGTGATTTTGTATCTTTTAGATGATTCTGTAGAAAATATTTTGCAATGTGTGAAAAGAAATTAAGCCCAAGAATCCATGCATTGTGTGATGGCAATTCAGGCATTGTTTCCATAAATAAACACTTTATGCTCCACATCTTGTGCAAATTTTGGAAAGCAACACCTTCAAGGAATGGTCATTCCACATTGCACTGAGTCCAGGTCTAAAATCCTTTAATATTATCATCTACATTTTCCACATGATTACTTCTTCTTAAGCTTGATAAATGAAAATTGTTCAACACATGATTTTCTGGAAAAAACATGTAGTTGCATGTGTTTTCCCAGTCTGTTTTTTACCAAACTCACCTTTACATAATTTTCCATTTATATGTCTCGATCAATCTTTTAATGTTAAAACCATCACAACAAAAATATAAAATTTCCCCTAATATTAGATTGAGAAAATTAACATAATAGACTTGATCGAGTAGAATTAATCTTGATTTACATCATTGAATATTCAAAATTCAGTCAAAGTGATGTCATATTTGAAATCTTCATGTAAAAGGACATCTAGAAATGTGGTTTTGAAAATTGTTTATCAACTTTGAAAATGTGACTTCTAGTTCGGGGAAATATCATCTTGTTTTGGACAGATAACATTTTTTTACTGGACATGTTTTAATTTTCATAACTATTAGATACATAAGGGTGATATGACAATTGAACCACTAAAACAGATGTTTAATTTAGTTAAAGGGAACTTTCTACTATACCTGCCATGCTACCTGACCTGAATGAGTCAGCTGGTGGTGAAACTGGTAACTGCCTACTGGCATCTGCGTTAATGAACATGTTTTAAGCAAATATTTTAAATACTTTTTATGGCTTGGTTGAATCAATGGCGTAGTGCCATATGCGCATAAAACGCCATGGCGTACTCTCAAATTTAGAGAAAAGTTGATTTTTATATTTAACACCTTTAAAAATACTGGATATTTTGAAATATGGCCAACTCACAAAAGACAAGGAATAGGTCAAGCAGAGTTTATAATTTTTGTTCAAATATCCTTAATGAATCAAAAAATGTCATTTTAACTTGATAAACTTATGATAGGTGGCGAGGTGTCTAAAGGTAAGGCACTTGACACAAAAACAACAATTCATTCACCAGATGGCGTAGTTAAAAAGAGGTCAAAAGCCCTCTATCGGGTGCAAAGTTAGTTAAAACTAGTTCCATTTCTCGCTGAACGAAAACTGTTTAGCTAAGTTTGAATTTTAGCTCAGCTTGATTTATTTTGGAGTTCTAATAAGGAATTCTGAGTTATCGATATTCCACCTTTAATACAGAACTTACTTCTTGGCATACTGTATAATGTGTAAGTCAGGGATATTAAATTCAAAAACAATTCTTGATAATTACAGGCAGCCGTGCAGCTACCACAGAGCTACAAGCAACTAAAGCTGAACAAGGTAATATAACATTTTTTACATCTAAGTCATCATTTTTATATCATAGGAAAATTCAAAGCAAGGGTATTTTGTGTGGATTGCTTATGATGCATGTAAAATTGAATACGCTGTAAACCCTTCAAATATATATACATGTAATCATGTTTGCATGTTGAAAGCATCACACAATTGCAAGCAATATTTTAATTTACCTATATTGGTGAAAATATTGGTGTCTGTAGAGATTCATTATTGAACATATAATACCAATTATTAATAATGCAAAAATATTTGAAAATAAATGAGAAAATATGAAAGTTTCTAGCTGAAGGAATATCTGAATTCTTTTAAATAAAAAGTATTTTTTGTCATTTTCAAAACTTTTAATTTTAATGCATGACTTAGGGGATTTAAAAAGTAGATGTCACCATTAGCGCTTTATAGTTGTTCACCCATGCATGTATTTTGCTGTATGAATGCTAGCATTAGTTGCATAGTTTTAGTCTCTCAATCTAAGGGACAATGTCAGTTTATCAATTTTTTTTAGAATGATGAAAGTGTATGAGTTTTGAGAGTATAGATTAATGTATGAAATGAAGCAAATTTTCATATAGATAAACTGACATGGTCCCTTGACATAAATGTAAACATAAACTGGCCTGATGTAGATTTTGAAGATCAAGCGGTTAGTTTGAAAAAGGAACTATACTAACCTGCTGAACAATTAGGTTTCGAAACACATTGTATATACATTTTTTTCTAACACTAAGAATGGATTAGTAGCCCATGGTAATATATACAGTGGCAAACTTCAAATAGATTTGTAGGTAGAAAAATGGAGACTCTGTATTTTAAGGTGGATGTAGGTCACACATAGTATGGCTGCCTAACAGCGATTGGTTGGTGTTCATATTGTCATATTTGGTATGTTGCAGAAATGTTTCAACAGCATTTGAGATCTAAATCTACTATCTGGTCAACCCTGTACATATGCAGTACTTGTTCACATGGCACAAACTCCAGTGAAGAATTCATTCAACACTTATGTTATGCTCCAAATCATCCAATCCCATTTGGTTGTATATATTGCTCAAAAGCTTTCAACCCCTTCAATCAATCTATTGAAGTCATTGAGCATTACCATTCACATTCTGACACAACAATTATTCCTCAGAATTTCTATAAATGTTTGATCTGCAGTTTTCTTACACGCCACAAAGAGGCATTTATAAAACACCATCATGAAAATCAATCTAGTTTCCATTGTCCTTACTGCAATATAATCTGCCCTACTGCAGAGATACTGGTGAAACACATGGAGATATATAGGAATGTCAATCAAGTGCTACATCCATACAAGTGTAGTGTTTGTGAGGAGTTTTTACCATCAAAGAAGAGACTACACACTCACATGTTAACAGCACATCCCTATTGTACACATTTCCCTTGTGTGCACTGTCAGCAGAGTTTTCCCTCTTACTATCTGATGTTGGATCATCTAGATTCAAACATTTACAGTTTGTATAAATGTGAAGACTGTGGCCTGGTGAATACCAGTATGACTCTGATGATACGGCACATGATGGGAGTTCACAAAGGAGGATGTTCAATTAGTGTGAAGAGAATACCTGGGAAGTGCCTGTCAGATGCAACTCTGCAACAGATGATTCGAGCTCATTTTCTTCAAGATAAGCAGCCAGTTGTAAAACCTAAACCTACGTCTAAAGTGAAAAAACAGAGAGCTAAGAAATCAACAACGAAAAATGTTTCAGCTAAATCTGGTGTATCATTACAAAATGGGCAGATAATGCTAACGTGTTCTGATTGTGGGGAGAAATTTGAGATGAATACCCTAGGTGAACATAGCAAACATTGTAATAAGATGAGACAAACTGTGTCAGAAAACATCCACCAGACTGCCCCTGAAAGCCATCATCCACAGATCCCTGAAAATGTTCACCAGATTGCCCCTGAAAGCAATCCTGAAAATATTCACCAAATTGCTCCTGAAAGCCTCCATCCACAGATTCCTGAAAAAATTCACCATGTTTTCCCTCAAAGACATCATTTACCTATCCCTCAAAGTCATCAGCTGTTGATCCCTGAAAGCCGTCAAGTACAGATATCTGAAAAAATTCAACAGTCTAATGACTCTCATCTGCCATTGTCAACAACTCGTGGTGCTTTACATGAACAAAATACCCCTAACCAGCTAAAAGTTGTGAAGAAAGAAGTTGATATCATTGAGCTATCTGATGATGAGGATAGTGTCAATGCTCCAATGTTAACTGATAACCAGATGAGCACTTCGCAACAACCTTTAAATCAGCAATATACATACAATGTTCAATCTGGTCCCAGATGCAGTGCAATACAGTCATATCAATGTGCTGGTTGTGAGTTCCAGGTTTTTGACATTAATAAAATCAAGGACCATTTGGCTCAGTGTTCCGCAGCTACTCAAGCCTCATTACTTCTTGTTAAAGATGATTCATCAACTCCACAGTTGGATCCCAATGCACAAGTCCAAGTCTTATATACATGCCCACATTGTCCATATGACACTTATATGCCTAGAGATTTGTGTGATCATATGAAGCATCACAGAGAACAACCTAGGCATGATCAGCAGTTCTCTTGTCCTCACTGTAGTATTGGCTTCATATGGTACCATGAACTTTATGATCATTTACTGCAACACAATGGAATGACAAAGCTACACATCTTCAAGTGCCAGTTTTGTATCTTCAATAGCACTCTAGCTGCATTGACTAAGGAGCATACACTGCAAACACATGGTAAAAGAGTTGACCCAATAGAAAGTGTCAGAATGTTTCAATGTTCTGATACACAATGCTTACAATGTAAGAGATTGGTTAAATACTCTAACCAATGTTGTTGTGGTGCTAAGAAGGTTCCAGATAATCAACAGTCAATACCAGTTACACCACCGCCACATGTACCTTCACCAGGAACACCTAACTCACCAAGATATTTATCTACCAAACCTCAATCATCTGTCACAACTCCTCCAAGCCGATTCCCAAGCCCTCCAATGTACCCAAACATACCTTCAAATCTTCCAGACAACATTGGCATTAGTAGTCAACATATGAAAAATCCAACTGGTAGAAAGAGATCACATGAAGGGGATCCTGTTCAATCTGGTAAAAAACAAAGAGTTGAAAGTAGCATATATAAATGTTCCAAATGCTCATTTACTGTGAATGACAAGGATATTCTAGTGAAACACAATCAAATACATGACTCTCTTGACAACATTAGTCAAAGAAGTAGTTCTACACCAAATACAACAACAAATGATAGTATCAAGAATGAGGTGCTTTCTGAAGAAGAAAATATAGAAGTATTTTCAGACACAGAAAATATTCAAGATGAGGAAAATATTAATGTTAAGGATGAACCTGATCTAAAACATTCTTTGGGTGACTCTGTTGAGTATGCTACCCATCGATTCTTGGGCTATGACAAAAGATTTGCTGTTGTCAAAACTAATTCAAATGTTAAGACAGAAAGTGTCACTCCAAAGAAGCGTCGTGGTAGACCCCCTAAAAATCCTAAATCTAAAAGTGAAACCCACTTATTAGGAAAGAAATCTGTTATTTCAAAATTTCAAATGAAAATAGTGCCTGCCATGCAAGAATCTCTTGGGGAACATGAAGATGATGATATTGAGAGCACTGTAAGTGAATCTGCAGAAACAAAGAAAGAGAATAGTAGGGATATAGATAACCATGGAGGAAAGTTTCCTCTGATGAATAGGTATTCTGAAAAAGGTGAATCGAATATCAGTCCAGATGATTCAGATGACAATTGTCCTATTACTACATTAGATTATGACCTTGATGACAATGTCTCTTTAGCTGATAATTCAAGGAGGAAAAAACAACCGAGACCCAAGTTTGTAAAAAAGAAAGTGCCAAGTCATATCAAAATCACCCCACAGAAGGCAAGGCATACATCCACTAAGGAATACATAAGGCGCTTTAATGTGAAATCTTGTCATGTGTTACTGAATAGGTGTACTGTTAAAAATCAAACTAATAACATGGATTCAATCCAGTTTGATTCAATGTCACTTAAAGTTCTCAAGACTACAGCCTCTGGAGATTTCATGATTCCAAATGAAAAAGTGTTTCCTACATATATCAAATGTTCTGAATGTGAGTTTAAAACACGAATCAGATCAAGTTTAATTCAGCATTTGAAATCCTTACATGTGATGAAACCAGCATCCAAGTTCTCACAAAGCAAATGTAATTTAGACAAACCTATCAAAGATATGACAAATAAAGTGAGTAAATATATGTCAGACTTTAGTAAAAGGAGAGATGAGGACAACATTGAAGTTATCAAAAGTGTGCCTTCTGCAGTTGGTAACGAGGATTATAGCAGACAGGAATTTGAGACAAAAATTGAAATCTCTCCAGATGAAGTTATTTCAAGTACAATGCAATTGGATTCTGGTCTAAATTGTGAAAAATGTCAGTTCACGTCTGATTCGATAGAAGAAGCAAGATATCACCAGTATGCAAATCATGGTTTAAAGGATCAATTTTACTGTAGTTACTGTGGTAAAAAGGCTAGTAGTTTGCCACATGATCTTAAACAACATTGTGAAACATTCCATCCAAATCTTACATCCGTTGTTAGAAAACTTCATTTAAGCTGGGAGACAGTCAAAAATCAAAATCCTCTTAAAACTGACATTGATGAAGGACAATCAGGGCAAGAGCAGATACAGACAGATAGTCCATTAATAAAGATTACACCCATTGCCTTACAAAATGAGGACACAGATCCTTGTTTAATCATATCACGTTTTTCTGGTGGAAGCACGCTTGCAATTCCAAAGCCTTCCAAAGCAAAGCTAACCAAAAAGATAACCAACTATCAATGCAGTGAGTGTGAGTTCAAGTCTGTCCATAAATGCAACGTACAACGACATATGGATAGGCATAGATCTATAAAAGACTATACCTGTACTCTATGTAATGAACAGTTTGATACACCTTTACAAGGAAGCAAACATTGCAAAAAGAACCACAAAAACAAGATGAATTGTTTGAAAAAAAATCCTCATGGACATTTCAAGGTTTTATGGCAGAAAGGATCAACTGGTTTTCTTGGTGAAGAGAATCAAGGAATAAATTCGCACCTTGAAAAAGCTGATTTCATATACTGTGGAATCTGTCATAAACGTCATATAGCAGAAGAAAAGGTGAGAATACATGTTCTGACCAAACATATGAACTGCCATCCTTATTTGTGTACAATATGCAAAGCAACCTTTTCTAAACAAAGTTTTGCTGATTATCACTGTACATCACGCCACAAACATATGGCTATGGGTGATATTATCAGAGTGCAGAACTTGCCAAATATTGATCATACAATTGTCAATAAAAATGGTAAGGTCCAAATTGGCAATAATAGTATTCTAAAATCAGAGGAAAACAGAAAAGATGAAATCAAACAAAGATCCAATCATTGCTTTAAATGCAATGAATGTTCATACAAGATTGACTCCAGAGAAGATATGAAAATGCATATGTATACAAACCATGGCAAACAGAACAAGCTATATTGTACAATCTGCAATATATATGAAGCTCGCTATCGCAAACAAATTCTAAGTCATGTGCATCTCAAACATAAAACAAAGGCTCATGGTGGTGCAATAGGACGACTCCCCTGTCCAGAGATAGAAACATTTGTCTTAGAAAATGGAGTTGAAGTTTTTAAACTCAAAACATCAGATATATCTAAACATATTTCAACAGCAACAACTGACTCTGTTTCGCATACATCGGAAGACTCCTCAGAAGATACTAATCTCATCTATGAATGTGGATCCTGCAGTAAAACATCAGCAAAGTTAGAAGATATGAAGATGCATGTCATCGTTTCTCATTTAGGGGCTGGAAAATACTCTTGTAAGCTTTGTGGAATGAAACCTGTGTCTAGTCGTAATCTCATGTTGAATCATTTACGGAACGCCCATCGAAAAACATCTCTTGAGTATATCAGGGAGAATGCAGACCCAAAACTTGATTTTATCCACAGAGAAAACAAAATCATAGTCACAGGAGATGGTGGAGAAATTACA